TGGACCAATGGGACAAGATGGGACTGAAAGGACTGAAATTCCTGCTTTGTTTTAACTCAAGCAAACATTTAACAAAAGGAAGTACAGGGTTACTTCCAAACTATGTTGCAAATGCATATAACTATACCAAGAGTTTTGTAAACTAAAATTAAGTTGAAACTAGATTGTTGTTGATGTTGGAACTTATAGTCAATTAAAAAGACATACAGAAAATTGTTTTTTTATATGGCAAATGCAGCAAGATTACTCGATGTACAGGTTATACAAAGGTTATGTACAAACATGCGCAGCAAACTGCTATGATCTCAATAACCGGTTATCTCAACATCTATGACCTCACCTAATTAGCAGAGCCAGTCAATACAAGGAACTATTGTTTTTTTATATGGCAAATGCAGCAAGATTACTCGATGTACAGGTTATACAAAGGTTATGTACAAACATGCGCAGCAAACTGCTATGATCTCAATAACCGGTTATCTCAACATCTATGACCTCACCTAATTAGCAGAGCCAGTCAATACAAGAAACTATTGTCTTATGTGATGCCTTTATTTTGGCTGGGATGGTCTTAGAGATTGACAAGTAGAATGTACCAATAAGATGCAGTTGCTACCTATGCTCTTGATTTGCTTGTTAGAACTGTATAAAAGCCAAATAAACTCTGTGTAAGGCAGACAGACATTTTGGACACAACCTGCTGTGATGGATTTCTGAGACCAATATCTGGCACCCAAAGCAGGGACAAAGGCACCCTATGGGGAGCAACTGCCGACATACTTACCTCCCGTCTGGAACAGACCCCAAAGTGGACTTCCATCCTACAGGACCCCTGAGAGGTAAATATGGGTTGCAATCTGTCTCACCAGCAGCAACATGTACAAGAACTTAGATTCTTGATACAGAAGTCAGGTGTTACAGCACCTGAGGCATGCATAAGGAAGCTGGCTGGAGAGATAGGGAAAACTTTACATTTTGAACCCCGGGCTCCAGTAAAGATATTACATTCATGGTCTCAGTGCCGTCAAGCAGTAGAAAAATTTGGCTCTAAAGTTTTGGCAGGACAAAACTGGCAGGACCACAGAGCCTCCACCTGATTATGATCAAGTACAAATTCTTCCCCCAAAATCATCTTTAATTGGGTTTTCACTTGAACAGCGATTGAAGCAAAATCTATGGGTGCAACTAGCTAACATCACACACAGTGATGTCTTTTGCCTATCTGAATCATATGACATGGAAAATTTGCTTTTTACATGTTTGGTTCCTATTTGTATCCTGCTTGTAGTAATTCAACACTTCACTGATTTGAGTACATTGCTATTGAATGAAAACTTTTAACTATAATACAATATCTAGTTGGGAGTTGATGTAATTGCTTTGTTTACCCTGATAGTAGCAGTTTCTGAGAATATAACATGCGCAAATTGTACATCTTCAAGTAAAAAACCTCATGTCTTCATATTAGTTCACCTGCTTTAAATTGTAAAACTTTTGAGACTTCTTTTCACTTTGCTTATGTTTGGCTCCTGCAAGGATGGTTTTTTATATGTGGTCAAGAAACTTTCAATTATATTCCTGTTAATATTAGTGAAGCACGGTGTTGTCTCAGCCAGTTAATTCCTGTTTTGCTTTCCAAACAGCAACTTCACTCAAGCTGTTCTCGATGTGGAGTCATGCTAGATAGCACTTGTGACTCTAAGATAGCTTTGCTTAATAAAGTAGAATATGTAGCATTGGCTATATTTATAGTGGGTGTCCCAGGGCTTGCTGCTTGCGCTTGCCGTATCTTAATATTAATGCTGTTGTGTGCAATTTGGTAAAAATAGTGCTACTTTTTAAGCAATTTTAGTAATTAATGCTTTGTTTCAATCTTTCAGATGAATCAAGAACCATCCAGCACCAGTTCAATTTTTATACAATTTGGCCTCTGATTTGAAAATTGATACTTTAGGATCCTTGTGGGAACCCTGACACACAGATCACAATCACAGGAGTGTAGGGATACTGTCAGTTTAGAACTTCAAGAACTGGTTGTATATGTCATTGGTTCAGTGCCATTGTAAGTTTGAAAGATCTCTGAAAGAGTGGCTACAGCTTGAGGGCTACTTATATATCTTTCTAATATTGTTGATTCTCAGATGTACAATATTCCTATTAGCTGTATTCAAGCTCTAATCAAAAGTTTAAAATTCTTTACAGAAAATGGTGATGTTACCGAAGCCTCTTGATTATACAGTATTTATGTAATGCTGGATAACAATGAAATTGACACCTGTGGAATATGGGCAACGTGGCAGCATCTTAAGTGGGTGAGAAAGAGATGAGGGGATCATGTGGCCTCATTGCTCCAAAACACATATTTTGTGCTTCTTTCTGGCACTGTTGGCTATTTTGGCATTAGTCCACAACTTTTATCAACTAGAGGTAAGTTACTTAACCCTCCCAAGAACTAGCCAAATAATTTGAAAGTTCTTTGTTCTTATCATCCAGGTCTTCCCATGATAAGTGACATAGTTTTCAGTGACTTTGAATGCGTTGCTCTGGAGTTCTTATTGGTAAATATGTCTTACTACATAAATACAAAATATTTAACTGTAATCTCTTTTCTTACTCTCCTTTAATGATTACAAAATCTTTGAATGTTGTGATTGCTTTGTCAATATAATGCTATGCTGTTTGGGTACTATACATCCACCTCTGAGCCCAAGCCACTTAGAAGGGAAAAAGGCAAAGGTATGAAATTGATTAAAATCTTATCAATTACAATTAGCAGCTACCAGCTGGCTATATTAACATAAATGAGCCTATTGGTATCCTAACCTGAGCATGTTGGACTTTATGGGGACCTGCACTGCATAGAAAATACAAGAATACATAGCTTGTTTAGTCCATCTCTCTGCTCTGAGGGGAGGGGAGGGGGGGAAAACAGATCAGTCAGGCACAGAAGTATGTATACCGAGTATAATGGCAAACACATAACTGAAAGATATTCTGCAAATGTTTGTGAAAATCGGAATAAATTAAATAGTTCTTATATTGCTAGAATCTCCAGTGACCACACTACTACAGTTTGATCCTTCTATCTTTACTTCTTCTCTGTTTCCCTCATCTAAAGATATGTCCCCTGGCAAGCAGGATGTCAGGGGAAGCAGGGGAGGCAGAGCCTCACCATTGTCATAATGAAAAGAAAAAAAAATGTAAAAGGAAAAAGGCAAGAGCTGAGGTCAGGCTGAGCTAGTTGCTGCCAGAGTCACCATGGATGACTCTGCTTAGTGCTTAACTCTTCAGTAAGTCTCTAAAAAAGCGCCCTCTACAGGAGGCGGCAGGAGAACGACGTGCCTCATCTAGTCTGACTTTTTATGATCACTCGAACAGAATTAATCAAGGGTTAAAAGCCGAAAAATTCCTGACGTAGATGAGGCACGTCATTCTCCTGCCTCCTCCTGCAGAGGGTGCTTTTTTAGAGGCTTTTTTAAACAGTTAAGCATTAAGCAGAGTCATCCACGGTGACTCTGGCAGCAACTATCCCAGCCTGACCTCAGCTCTTGCCTTTTCCTGTTACATTTTTTTTTCTTTACATGATGGCAGGCAAGACCAGAGTTGAAATCCTCTCTGAAACAGCTGGAAAAGGTACATGTGGGTCGGAGAGAGGGGGAGGAATTCAAACTTCATCCTCCTGGTGCAACTTTGTGTGTGTGTGTATATGTGTTTGAGAGAGGGGGGAGAGAGGGAGGAAGGAGGGGAAGGGAGAAGAAAAAGAAAAAAGGAAACTTATTTAGCAAAGGAGAAAAACAAATGCTGTCGCTTTAAATAGGAACTGAGCATGCCTGGCTGTGGAATTCTGGGAGTTGAAGTCCACAAGTCTAAAAAATTGCTGTCTCACCAGCCATAAACTTCACCGCATGTCACTGCTGGCAAGTCAACCATTATTAGTTTTGTTGACTGTATTTCCTATTTAATTTAGAATAATAACAATTTATTTTCAATTTATTTATCAACAGCTTGCTTCATTATATTTCCACTGCAACTCTTAATAATTAGCTTCATTACATTCAAGAAGAGCCATCAGAATTTGCCTCATATGTTCCCCTTTGCATGAAATTTTTCCAACTAATGTGCAATTCAGCATGCATACTCTCTACAATAAGAATCAGTTAACACTGCATTAAGATCCTGAAACAGAGGAGTGAGTGTGTGGCTGGGCATTTGGAATGTAAAGAAACATCACATAAAAATCCTACCATACACACATTTTTGTCAAATCACCAAGCACCATTTCCTCTTAAAATATTGCTTTATGTCATCTAACTTTGTGAAGAACAAAACCAAAAGATATGTGATGTTTGCAATGGAAGATTGGTGAGTAAGGCCCTAAGATTGGTGAGTAAGGCCCTGCAGGATTCTAAGCCCTTCCCCCACAATTTATATTGCATCTTTTTACAGTTCTAGGGACAGCCTATTCAATAAACTTCACCATCAACTACTCATGTCTACGTGCTAAAATTAGTAGGAAATAAATGAAGTGATGACTTCCTTCAATTGCTTTTCTTCCTTTAGGTAGAGTAAGTAAGGAGGAAATCTTGTACTAAGGCTAAGCACTTTTCAGAATAAAAATGCAGGTACATGCAAGAACTCGAAGTCCTTTATAGACAATAAGGTTATGGGATTAAAGAAAAGCTGAAAGAAAGAAAAATAGGCAATGGCAGGAAAATAACTATTCTGAGATCGTTTCACTGGCTCTTTCCCAATCAGATATACAAACAGAACATACAGACAAAGAACAATAATAACTAAGCATTTTTAGTCAGCTCTAAAAATAGAAGACGTTAATTCTCTCAATATAATAAGAGTATTAGAATTGAGTGGTGTAATGATATCTTAAATACTATGGATAAAGTATTTACGTAACTAATGGCAGCCTGTAATCCCACATACATATAACAATCTTTTATAACTAATGGAATAGAGAAATACAATTTGGGTTGTGTGGTATTTCTTACGGACCATTCCGATTTGATGCTGCTGAAAAGTGCTAATAAAATAAATATAGTCATATGATTCTCTTGCTACAGAGTTTGAAAGAGTTTCTTTCTTTTGTAGAATCTCAATACTACAGGTTTAAAGTGGTTGGTAGAAGAGAATGAATCACAACAGCCGTTGCATACAACTAGAACACGCAGAAAGCTGTACTGTGGTTATGAGCATCAGGTTTTGTCCAAGATTGAACAAGAGGAAGAAGAATCTTTATTTGTTGCTCTACAGTGGCCCAAACCTCCTGAGAACAAAGTCCCCTTTGTAAGGAGTACTGACCCTTTCCATAGCAATTTTATGATACTAAATAATCATGGACATTTCAAAGTTGGTGATCAGCTGGAAGTGCTTGTCCAGATGAGGGATTATGACGGAAACCCGAAGCAATATGGTGGCGATTACCTTCAGTCAAGAATTCATTCTGCAGATCTGAAAGCTGGAGCCATTGGAAGAACTGTAGATTATCAGAATGGAACATATAGAATTTTTTTCACTTTACTTTGGCCAGGGGAGGTCACAGTATCTGTGTCCTTGGTTCATCCTAGTGAAGGAATCCAACTCCTTCAACGTTTACAGGAAGAAAAACCAGACAGGGCATATTTTAAAAGCTTATTCAAATCAGGAAGGATTTCAGAAGTTACAATATGCAATGTGTGTTTGCCTGGGGACATGCCAGTCTGTAATTTTACAGATAGCTATACTGGAGAACCATGGTTTTGTTACAAGCCAAGAAGACTCTCCTGTGCTACTAGGATCAACCATTTTAAAGGGGGATATAAAAAGGGCCTTTTAACTTCAGAAGAGAGTAACTTTTTCCAAAGGTACTTGTTTTCTTAGACTATGTTTAATATTTGTTTTGTATAAGTTGTTGGTTCTTTTCCACTGGTGGGATCCTGACGGTTTAACAACCAGTTCAGTGATTGTGTGCGCATGCGCCTGATGCTGCTCTGCACGTGTGCACAGTTTTAAGAATGCTTACCTTCCGTGCTACTACTGGGGGGGGGGGGACACAGCTGAGGTGTGCAAATCAGCTGAGGAGATAAGGCCACACTTGAAATACATTCAATTTTGGTCACCACAATGTAGAAAAAATGTGGAGACTCTAGATAGAGTGCAGAGAAGAGCAACAAAGATGGTTAGGGGACTGGAGACTAAAACATATGAAGAACGGTTGCAAGAACTGGTTTAATAGAAAGAAGGGGAGACATGATAGCAGTGTTCCAATATCTCAGGGTCTTCCACAAAGAAGAGGTAGTCAAGTTATTTTCCAAAGCACCTGAGGGTAGAACAAGAAGCAATGGGTGGAAACTAATTAAGGAGAGAAGCAACTTAGAACTGAGGAGAAATTTCCTGACAGAACAATTAATCATTGGAACAGCTTGCTCCAGAAGTTGTGAAAGCCCCAACACTGGAAGTCTTTAAGAAGATGTTGGATAGCCATTTGTATGAAACAGTATAGGGTTTCCTGCCTAGGCAGGTGGTTGGACTAGAAGACCTCCAAAGTCCCTTCCAACTCTGCTATTGTATTGTAGGTCAGTATAGTGCAGGAGCAGGCAGGTGAACCCACCTGATCGTCGGAGTGCACTGATTCACTCTCAGCTGGTCGTTGGAGCTACCGGTTTGCCTGGACCAGTCCGAACCGGTAGAATCCCACCCGTGCTCTTTTCTTTTTAAAACATGGGATGGTGAAAGACTCTTCTTGAATTCCTTTACTAGGCTGAAACTGACCTTTTAAATAAATGCCAAAGAAGCAAAACATCTGTACGGTTCTGCTACAATTTTTCTAATTTGCTGAATAGTATAAATGATAGCATTTTAGTGCCACATTTATGGCTCATAATTTTCATCAACTCTATTATCTTAGGGCTTTATTGCTGTTGCTTCATATAATCTACTTTTAATTTTGACAATGGTAGCAATAAAACTTGGCTCTTCAGATAATAGCCCTATATTCAGGAACGTCTTTATAGTAGGAACTTTACAGACACAGCCCAGTTAAATAAATTGCTTTAGTGTAAATAATAAATTAGATATGCTCAGACGTTATGACTACCATACTGCAAAACACAAGAGATTATGCCCCATATCTGTCACTAGAAGGAAAAGGTTTACATTTTAAACCTTTTCCTTTAATTTTTTGATTCAGAAGACTTGGACCATTCTTCTCTCATCCCTGACAGTCAGAAAAAAACTGCTTAGTATTTAACTAATACTACTGTTGGGCCTAAGCACCTCTGGAGTCATTTTGCTTGTTCAGACTTTTTACTTTGTGTTACTAGGAAATTATTGGCTTTTCTCCTCAAATAGATTAAAATAATCAATTTCTAAAAATCTAAATATCTTTGTGTTTGAAACTTTCCTTAAACATTATCACTAATTGTAAACAAATTTGTAGAGACATATTTCTTTTTAATACAAATTTCGCTAGTGTACATGCTTTAAAAAAATAGCAAACATTTTTTGTTCATTTGAGGAACATGTATTTTTAAATATCTTTCATGACTTCTTTTGCATTTTTTACTGTGAAAAGAAGCAATTATTCGCTGATGTTGTTGATAAGCCTCACAGTAATGCAAGCAATAAATCATATTGGTAATAAATGCATTTAGCAATGAAAAATACAATGGAATGTTATTAAGTCCTCTTAACTCAGTTTGCTTTGATATAATTTGTACTTTTCAACATGAATCTTATATATGGAGTTTTCCAATTATGATTAATGAAGGCATTTCATATAACTATTTGCTTTTGCATCAGAGAGAAATATCTATTGCTGTCATCTAGGAAGAAATCTCTAGTCCTATTCATATTGAGATATCTATATTCAGAAGAAGACATAACTGTGTCACAATAGTGTTCAAGTTAAAAAGCAATTATGACTTTTTGGTATTTAGATTAAAAAAATATATTTTCCCCTTTCTTTAGTGGTGTGAATATAAAAGTGGCAATACCTCCCTTCGGGCCTGATACTGTGATTGTAAGAACTTTGGAGCTTGCAGGTAAAGTAACAGTTCGAAAGTTTTGCTTTATACTATTTAAACTTGTTCTTATGAACTGCAACCATCAACAGTGTTTTAGTATTGTATGAGAAACTGTTGAAGACCTATGGTTAAGAGTTCTATTATTGTATTTAATGTCAGGGATCCAAGAAACAGACCCAAAGCAGACCCAAAACAGACATTTAAATTATTTAAAAATATTACTTAATCATTATGCATTTAAGGATGAAAAATTCTTCATGTTTTCTACCTTGCTTATTTGTTGAAGCAACAATTATGTTGAAAAGGACACTTGGTATGTGCTGGCATGTATGTAGAATCGCTCAGGGACAATTTAAACAAAAAAAATATTTTCCTTCACAGCAACCATGTAGCAGCTGTGTGAATCCAGGAGAAGATTTCAACAGTGCCAATTATGCAACCTTATGTTGGATTTTATATCTGAATCGTATTTTATCCCCTTGAATTCAGATCTCAGGACCTTCCCATTAATGTCATATTGTAGAATACTATTAGAATACTTTTACTACAAATGATTGAGAATGTAGTATATTTATGGATAAAATTGTTAGAATGTTAGAAGCTGTCTGGAGTCATTTTGTTATGACATGGGCAACATAAATAAAGTAAATAAATATCGGTAATATATCCAAAAGTGCATTCTTAAAAATTTTACTATACCATCTTTAAACATATCAAAGATGGCCAATTTAAAATAATATAATTGCAATTAATAATTAGATAAATAGTAAATAGTGTTACATTTATGTTTTTCTTTCTTTCTTTCTTTTGCTAGAGGCTCATATTTTAGGTAGTGTATATCTTATAAGTTCCTACATTTATGAAGGAAAACAGTTGCATCTGGCATTTTTCTTCGAAAATGTATATTTAGAATATGTGTCTGTCAACTTGCTGTCTTGCTTATTTGTTTGTTTATTTATTTATTTATGCTGCAATCATAAGACTCAGTTGAGTTTTCCATATAGATGAATTCAATGATTCAAAATTGTCCATGCTTGTCCAAAAATTCACCTGCCTGCCAGTGCAGTTTTCCATTATATTAAAGGTAAAATTTGTTAATAGCTTTTTGGAACATGGATGTTGTAGTATTTTTGTGACGATGGAGTTTGTAAAGTTTGCAGACATGATGCTTAAAATTATAAAATTGCTTTTGCAATTTTAATGCACGACTCCTCATTTCTATCCATTAATTCAAAATGTTCTCTTTCAGAAATGGACAGTCTAAAAAGATCTCACAACTCTGATGTATTTCCTTCTGGTTATTATTATCAAGATGAATGGCATCAAAGCACACAGTTGATTCGGCGTTTTAATAAGTCATCAGATATTACTGAATGCTTAGAGGGAAAACTAATTTACTTGTTTGGAGACTCTACAATACGACAGTGGTTTGAATATCTGACAAAATTTGTTCCAGGTATGTTCAAATTGATTCCTTCTAAAAGAAATCCTGCAATAAATAATTTTGGTATAAGATCACAATATTTTACCAGTGTTTATCATTTTGTTACCGGTGTAGTTTGGGTGATATGCATGTTATTTTTTAAAACGTTGAGAGAAAAATCGAAAAGAAATCCTAAACTTGACCTTTTTTTCCAGGTCCCCCGTCCCCCTTTAACAATATCTCATTATTAGGCTATCTGAAAGTTAGTGATAACAGGAAACCTAAGGCAAAAGCTTTTAGATCAAAATGTGGTTAATTTTTTGCTTAATTTCAGAAGCCCTTGACGAGAAAGTAGATCTGTATCAAGAGAGCCCTGTAGTTTGTTACAGTATGTGTGTGCAGTTAAGTGAGAAGGAAGTAAGTTGTGGTATTTGTGGCCCATCAACTTTTGACAGCTGTCATTTAGCATGCAATCCCAAAAGTCTCACCTATGAGAAGAAAAACGATCCCATTTGTGGGCTCCAAAGAAGAGAGTTGCTGTTCTACTGAACAAAAATGAAGGAGTCTCCAATGAATTATATCTGAATTATATCTGACAGCAAATATAATAGGTGCATTTACAGTTCCTCGTAACGAATCTATTAGATCCCAGCTGCACAAACCCAGATGGCTATTAAATGGCTGCAGGAAACAAGACTGTAGACCAGGGGTGTCCAAACTTGGGAACTTTAAAACTTGTGGACTTCAACTCCCAGAATTCCCCCTGGGGAAGGAAATTCTGCTGGCTGATTTCTCTATGCTAGAGCAGAACTGACAGCGAAGGGATAGACCACTGCAGTACTGTTCAGCAAAAGTGCAGTGCATTTAAAGCAAAGGGGGCTCAAGGGGAGCCCCTTGAATTTGAGAAGGGGAATAAAGAGAAGACCTATTCAGGTGATTAAGACATCGGGAGTTTTTTCTTCCAAAGAAGTGTAGTTATGTTTGGGGTTATAGATTTTTATATTTTTTTCATTCCTTTGAAATGGTTAGTTGAAGATGCAAGATTAAACCTTCCATTTATTTGTCCTTTGGATGATTTTTCAGAAGGCATAATGCTAAGCCTAATTAATTTTGTCTTACTAACACTTCTAGGTAGTGATAGGGTGATGGCATACAATGATATAGTAATTCTTTTTTTTTTTTAAACAGATCTTGTGGAATTAAACCTTGGAAGTCCTAAGAACGTTGGTCCTCTCATGGCTGTGGACTTAAAGCACAACATCTTATTAAATTTTCATTGCCATGGCCCTCCCATTCGTTTTTTCATAGTTTCTAGCAGTGAGCTGCATTATATTGCCAATGAACTGAATCGTATTGTTGGTGGGAAGAACACTGTGATAGCCATAACTATTTGGTCTCACCTTGGCACTTTTCCTATAGAAGTGTACATCAGGAGATTGAGAAATATTCGCAAGGCAGTTGTTCGGCTATTGGACCGGAGCCCAAAAACTTATATAGTTATCAAAACTGCCAATGTTCAAGAACTTGGCCCAGAAGTTAGCCTTTTCAACAGTGACTGGTATTCCTATCAGCTTGACAGAATAATGAGGAAGATGTTCTCAGGAATTGGGGTGTACTTTGTGGATGCTTGGGAGATGTCACTGGCTCACCATTTGCCACATAAATTACATCCAGAAAATATTATTGTCAAAAATCAGTTAGATGCTTTCTTGTCTTTTATATGCCCACTGGAAACACACTACAATTTCTTACCTGGTATATATAATCAAATGTGGTCTCTATTTGTATAATTCAGCACTCCGCACTAGTAAAGCATTGCTGATTTGTGGTCATAATTTGCATCACATCTAGCCAACTTGCACAAAAGCATGCACATTTATATTTCTTGGTGGCAGGGAGATTTCTGTATGTATATTATGTTTCCACATACCTAACCCTACCCGTTTATAATGCATGTATTGCAGTATTTGGGTTCTACACCTCGCTTGTATAAAGGGTTGCTTGGTTTTGTTTTACTAGAGCTAAGCACACTTCAGACATTATCGAGAAAAAGTGCTTTGGAACTTAGGTGAACACTGAAGCCTTTTTCATGTTCATTAAAACAGCCATGTCTGCCATGCCTGAAAAAATACAGCAGTGATAATTAATCACCTACCAAATAGAAGAGAATATTCTTCTCTGTTTCTTATTGGCCTCAGCTTCTTGTCTGATTTCTAAAGAGTTAGAGCTAGAATAAGAAAAAAAAATAGGCACGTTTTTGGAAGAATTTTGGTAAGAACAGATGTAATTAAGGCAGGCTGAATCTGTCACATCTCATCCAAAGGCCTCTTGTTTTCCTGCCTTAGTTTTACCACCTACTGGTTCATTTCTCTTGAACTGTCAAATGGGAATCAATTTTAATTCTAGTATGACAATCAAGCTGAAACCGGTTTCCTCAGTTTCTTCAAAAGACAGATACTCCAGGGCATAATATCTTTATAAGAAGGAGTTCCCCTGACATGGGATTATTTTTCAGTTTTTGACCCAGGATATATTTCATCATTTTTAATCATGTGTATTGAGACTGAGATAAATTACATTTATATTGCCAGGAGAAGATATTTCTCATGTCTTATGAGGTTATTCTTGTTGCTTGCGCTTCACCCTCTTTGAAAAAGGTATTTTGTATGGTAATTCTTGAAACTCTGCTTTATCTGCAGTGTTGGCAGTTTATAATAATGCAAGGGCATTTTTCCTACATCAGGTAAGAAGCAGACTCTTCCCCATCTCTCCCCCAGGTAACTGGACTAGGTTTGAAGGTGATGTTCCTTCCTGTTTTGGTGGCCATATACTGTATGTCTGCATGAAAAATACCCATGTTAAAAATAATGGAATAATGGGACTTTGAAGTGAGACTGGAGGCTTTCTCAGCTGTTGCTGCTTTGCAAAATGGAGATCTACATATCAAACTTGAGAATTGAAAGTTTCTAAGATTCTTTGTTGCATGATAACAGTTTTAAAAATGCACTTCTCAGTGGTGAATGTCTGCAATGTTTGATAGATATATGGAAACATTTAATATTTTACCAGTAATAACACAAACAAATGAGTTTATAACCATTGTGATTATTGCTATTAACATGCAGAAGTCTACTTAAATTTCCTGTAAACAATGGATTTTATGAGCTAACAATTTGCTATCTGATGACTTTACAGCAATCATTAATGCCACATTTTATCAATCAAAATGTATATTATTTTTAATTTATTAAATAAATATATAATTTTTACTTTACCCTGCCCCATGCTTTCTTCTTTTATTGCCACACACTGTACTGAGATAGTATAGGACACAAATGACAATTGACCAATGATCACTTTGTCATTACAGAACTGAGCAGGCCAATGAAATGGCATATTCTGCGCTGTCTGACATTGTAGCCACGAAATTGTATTATTTTTAATAGCAAATGATATTTCCACTAATTGTCTCTTCAAAGCCACACAAATACATACAATTTGGTGTTTTCTCATCAAAATCAATATATTTCAACATGCATTTTAGATTTTTGCATGAATGCCATTTTACATGGCTGCTTCTGAATTCAAGTGTGGAATTGTGTGGAAGGAATACAAGTAACTATTCAAATTAAAGTTTTTCATTGGGCTGATGTATCAAAACTTCATGATTCTTCACACATTATTTTACATATGACAAATATAAAAGTGGCAACTCCAAGACTCTAAAAATGGGAATGTAAACTGAATTTGCTACCAAAAGTAGAATGCTCAAATCCTAGAGAATAGGACTGATTACAAATTATGATAGTGAATTCTGGTATTTGGCATATGCTTTTAGAATGAGTGAGTGAGAATTCTTCTATTATTGACGGCTCTCTATAATCTAGTACAGCTTGATTTTATCTACATATGCAAGCCTTAAGATATTAGAGAGCTTGACAAAACTCTTAATTTCGTACTAAGTTTAAAAAAAAGTTGGGCTATGGTGGATGGCCAACCAGTGAGGTGCCATCACTGGAAAAAAGGCAGCTCACCTGGCCATACCTATTGACCCTGCTTTCCATAGCCTTGTGAATGGAACAGCATGTGGTTATGGGTTACATAATACTGTCCTGCTATTGCCCCAAGAAAGAAAATATTCTGGCCAGTCTTCTCTTTAATAATTTGTGAGAAAGATGGGGATTCCAGAGGCTCAGCAGCTTCCCCATACATTGGAAGACATCCTTCTTTTAAATCCTCAATCAGTATCAACATGAGGAGGAGGAATAGGGAACCCTAGGTCAGTGATGGCGAACCTTTTAGGCACCAAGTGCCCAAACTACATGTCCATGCATGCCTGAACAGCAAGGCGTGCATATGCACGTGTGCATGCATGAAATGGCCGGCAAGAGGTGGGGCAACCCAACACTGGCAGCTCTGCCAGCGATTAGATCTTTTTCTTTTGTGGGCTTCTGTTTGCAGGGAAACAGAAGCCTACAAAAAAAAAGCTGAGCTGGAACGACGGGGCGCTGCGTACCACCTGTGGCACGCATAGCATAGGTTCGCCATCACGGCCCTAGGTTATAGCATCAATTAGCCCTAGCTGCTTTGGGCTTGTCAGAGAACAGCAGTCTCAACTTCTTTTGCAGAGAAACTTCTTTTCCCACTTAAAGCAGGTTTTCTTCTGAACTTGAAGTTTTCTTGGCTATAAACTACACCATCTTTGACTTCAAATTCCAAAGAAGTTCATCATCACTTCTGTTCCTGCTAAACATAGTTTAACTCTTTGATTTTGAAAAATGATATGGCTATTTCCAGTTTCCCTCTTGCTTATATCTTTTTAACACTTTCCTGCTCACTCTTTTCCAAGTGTTATCTTCCCAATGATTATAATATATGATTTTAAAAATGATTGGTAGAGATCCTATATTAAAATGACATATAAATATGTCAAAATATGTATAATTATACATATTCAAAATTCAGCTAGTGTATAAATACCAAGTAAACATGTTTGGAAATTTCACATTCCCTTTGATTTCCAAGATACAGGTCACTACCATCCCAAACATTAATTTATTTTGAAGTTCAACCCAGTTGTTGGAGATGTTTTCTAGTAAAGACACATTATAAACCAAGGGACAAGTTTCTTTCTCATTTTGTAATCAAGGGTTTGGCCCTGAAAATATTTGATCACTCCACTTTCATTCAGGGCAGTACACAAGCATTTGAACAATCATAATTATTTTAAGTGGCATTTATCATATTTCATCATCCTTGTGCTCTATTTTACTCATGCTTTACTTCCAAACAAAAATATTATTATCATACCTCAATACGGGTATGTCAATTTTTTTCAGTCGGGTAACATCTTTAAAGTCATACCATTGATTGAAGATAGCGATAGAAATAACAGATTTATATACTACTTCATAGTGATTTACAGTCCTCTCTAAGCAGTTTACAGAGTCAGCACATTGCACCCAACAATCTGGGCCCTCATTTTATTAACCTTGGAAGGATGGAAGGCCGAGTCAACCTTGAGCTGGTCAGAATCAAACACCTGGCAGTGGGCAGTTAGCCTGCAATACTGCATTCCAGCAACTGCTTCACTATGGCTCAGTGATAAAATAACAACTAAAGATCAAATAAGAACTAAAGGTCAAATAAATAAAATAAAATAAAATAAAATGCATTAAAAGAAATAAACGCCCACTAAGCAATGCATCACTTTATAGGGCAAACTATCATGAACAATTTTTTTGGTGAAAACGTAAGGAAGACGTTGCATATGGTCCAGAGCCTGTGAGCAGTAAGATTTCCTATGTGCCTATGAAATGTGGCTCTTACTCAAAAAAGGAAAAGGTAACTCCTAGCACCGAGATCTAGGCAGATTTAGATGGGAGAACTGGATCTTCCAAATAGCTTTGTTGCAAGTAGCTTAGTTATGATTCACATAGAAAGTATACAGAAAATATTTTAAATTATCAGAAAAACTGACAGAGTCAGCCAATCAATTATGAATTCCTTTTCAGATATGTGGCCAATGAGAGTACAGAGTAGAAAGAAGTTGAGTCCCTTCATCAGTTAAGGATTCCCATAGCCACCAGAGATTAAATAAAAAGTTGTTGAAAATGAAGTGCAAATGGTTCAGCTTCAATTCTCATGGATTATCTGTCTGGATGGTGACTTGTCAGAGTGACAGACATCTATATCTATTTGCAGTTTCAGGAGGCAATCCCCTTTTACAGAAATAGTAGAAGCAGCGTACTCTACTGGACACTGACTGTCATGAATCTTTTGCATGCCACTGAAATTATTCACTTTCTTTAGCACTCCAATAGTCTCACTCAATAATTAAAGATTTGGCTTGTCCTTAACAAATACCTCCCCAAAATGTTGGAAATGTGAATCAATACATGGAACATAATACCATTTATGGTAGACCTGTGAGGAGGCTAAAATATTTTGGAAAAGGATTAAAAATTGGCTGGAGGCAATAACGAGTTAAAATAGAATGGAAACCGAAAGTTTTTTATTAGGAATAATGTCTGTAAAATACAAAAAAGAAATCCAGTACTTAATACTACATATAATTATGACGGCAAGGATTGCCTTTGCCCAGAAATGTAAAAACAAATTAATTCCAAGCGAAGATGAAATAATAAGAAAGGTTATGGATTGTGCTGAAATGGACAAACTAACTAAAGAAATCCAGGGAAAAGAAGAATCAGAATTCTACCAGATATGGGATAAATGGTATATGTGGAAGGAGGAAAGAAACAAGAATCAATGAAGGAATATAACAAAACTCAAAAAAATAAAATAACAGTCCCAATTGTTCCAAATCTATGACTG